CAGATAGCCTCCCCTAGCCATATATCTTGAAGCCCTTCAAGCTCTTGAAGTCCTCCTTGAAGGGTGCTTCGGATCCACCCCCCGAAATAATTGCGTTCGCCTGTTGCGTTGTGATAGGCTTGGAGGCTGCCCCACTCAACCTCCCGCTTTTCTGAACGCTTTACCACTGCTCACCGTTTTGGATCATTTGATGCTTTTTCATTATTATTCTTGATTTGTGATATTTTTTTTTTGAATTTAAACAATTTTTCGTCATACACATCATGTGTCAGCATTTCCCATCATCTTTCAGCAATTTCCATGATTTTCGCAATTTTTCTACCAATTTTCAATAGTTTTCATGGTCGTTTATCAATTTCATATTTTTTTCATCCCTTTATGTATTTCGTCATTATCTTCATGGGTTTTCATGGTTTGTATCAGCTTCCAGTAGTTTCCGTCATCGTCATCATCTTCAATTTTGTCGTTTGCAATTGTGGGGGGCCTGTACGACCTCCCAACCCCTCGTTTTTTTTTCAAGGCCATCCATGCATGCCGCAACAAACAAGCATCACGTCATCACCATGTTTGCAGGAAACAATGGGAATACGGATCATTCAGTTTGCAAAATTGGGCGGGCTGTGCTTCTCCCAACCTCTGGCTTTTCATCAAGGCTGTCCATGCTTTACCATGTTCATCATTTTTGCTCATGTCATGAGTCTTTACATGATTTTTCGTTAATGTTCTTCATTTGATGTTTTGTATATGTGTTCACAATCCTTCATCATATGCATCACGTTTCATTGTTTTCTATCAGTTTGCAGGAGTTTCCGTGCTTTCCATTCTTGACAAATTTTCATCAATCTTCAAAATTGTCCATCATTGTCATTATTTTCACAATTTTCCACCATTTTTCCTCATGCCATTATATTTTATGGTTTTTCAGAATGCGTCATTATTTTTCGATAATTTTAATCAGTTTTCATGTCCTGCAATTTTTTCATTTTTGGTCCGCCTGAAATGCTGTAGCTCCGAGATTCCGAGGGCTTTTTATGTTTGTAGCTTAGATAGAGACATATTTCCTGATCCTGGATGTTATTTTTTGGTTTCCATTTGTTTTGAATTTGCACCCTTCCAGGACGCCGCCGCGGGGACGACCAAGCACTGATGCAAGGGACAGATGGTTTCGAAGCTTCCCTGGGCTTCCTTCCACGAACGGAACAGTCATGACCCTCAACAGCTATGGTTACCTCCATGCACTCCAGTTTCATTTTCCCGAGATACATGCGTCCCCAGCTCCCCACAGTTGAAAAATGCTGCGTTTGCAGTGATGGAAGCATCACATGTTAGACATGAAATTCAAAGTTTGCCAGCCCGTCTGGAAGCTCAAAAAATTGCGTTTTATGAAGAAGACATACCATGACAAAAAAATCACGGCGGTACTTGTGGATCCTGTTCCACTTGCATTGTTCTGGCAAGTTGCGGTGTTTGAGTGCGTTCCCTCAATACAGTTCACTGATCAACCTTGCCCGCTTCAAACAGCATAATAATGAAATTTGCGTGGAGCACCGTTTCGCATGTGTTTACTTGTCGACGCGCACGGTTGGGGTCTTGCACCTGCTTTCACCATGCTGACTTGACCCTGTTCATCAGCCAGAACAAATTTACGATGTGGAGACTTGTCGTTTCGAGTGTTCGGCTTGAAAGGGAAGATGGAAGATTCATTCAACTCAACTTTGAAATGGCTGTGAGTGGCCTGGTTCAATCGGTTGGTTTAGGATACAATACATGTTCCAAAAATTGCATGTAGAGTTTCTGTGTTAACGTGTTCATTTGTGGCAGCGGACGACCATATTCCAAGCGGATGCTTGTGCTGTTGGACAACAGCCCATGTGTAACGACTTTCTAAGAAAATGCTGTAATTCTGTTGGATTTGCCGACGACAAGCCATGGCTTAGACATGTGTAGAAATCATGTTGGTGTTTACGTTGGAGGTGGTGGTTGATCATATCCAGGCCGGGCATCAGGATGGTTTTGTCAGCGTTGCAGAGCCGTTGATCACATTGTGCTTGATGTCAGGGATGGGAGCAGCTGTTGCAGAGATGTGCGCCCATGGCACGACACTTTGAGATGAGGCATGTTGCAACATTGCACATTAGAAGCCGCAGTGTGGATTACATTCTCATTGGCTTGTGCCGGCGAAGGCCTAATATGGTTTGTTCAGCCGCATGTTCAATGCATTTACTGTCGCTTTGAAATTCCAATGTGAGCAGGCATCCAGCATTAGCATTGCGATTTCTGGACTTGGAGCCAGCTATCGTCCAGGATGGTTCGTGGTTTCATGACACAGAATCGAACAATATGTGCTTGCCCAGTGTCACAACAGGCAGATGCGATCACGGAGACAAGCAGTGAGCTTTTGAATTTCCACGGCAGGGGAAAAGTCGGATCCTGAACAAATTATCGCTGAGTGGAACATGCATTTTGTGCCATTGGCCGAGTAACATGATGCTTGTGTGTGTTTCCTGCTTGCAGGCCATGGTCCTGGAGCTTCCGTGTGGCATGCTTGAAGAGACCCTACCGCAAGTTGCTCAGGATGCGTCGAGTTCATGATTCGGCAAATTTTGCACTAATGACGCAACTTGCCTGTTTCTGACATGTGGGGTTTGTGTCGAGGCTGTGGCTGATGGCTCTGGCTTTGCAGCCTGCAGAGGCTGACTCTGGCGCGAGGCAACGACTTGCAGTCGAAAGGAGGGCTTCATTTTGTCAATTGTTTTGACGGGTTACCTACAGAGCCACGCCGAAGGGCCAAAGAATGATAAAAAACAATCTTGGTGACTTTGCTTGGCTTGGTCATTTTTAATCTGACAATCATGGATAGCATCCCCCCAGAAGGTTTTGCGAGTTTGGTTTACGGGATGGTGGGGGTGGGAATAGGACCAAGTAGTACAGGTCGCGGTACTGGTAGAAGAAGATCTTTGCGTGGTAGATTATGATATTGTGGGAGTATTGAATATTAGGATATGTCGGGGGGTGTGCAGGGGTTCAATTTTAGGTACGAGGGATTATAAGTTTTCCCATTCCGAACTTGATAGAAAGCAGAGCAGTCTCCGGATTCTTTTGGCCCGGCGAGAATAGTTTGAGTATTATCCTATCCCCCTTTACTGATGCTAGCTGTACATTTGGGTTTCAACAAAACTCAGCAGATGCAATGGCTTTAGCTACACAGTTTAACGGCACCATGTCGGGAGGATTGAGTAACTGGCATGGAGTTGATGCCGGCATCTTTTCCCGCAGATCCTGCAATGTCAAGGTTCAACCAGTTGAGCCCTCTGTAGTGCAGGCATTCGGTTATGAAAACCAATTCAACAGGTTTTGCGTTGGGGCCAAATATTTCATGCATGTCAGTGGATTGTTCGTGCTCGGTTTCGCCAACAAAGTTTGTTGTAAGAGTCTGATAGGAGAGCAACGCTGTTGGCCTCTGCATGCATCAACTTGCAGCAGGAGGCCAGCTCACGTCATGTGTCCTTGTCGCAAAGGTATTTTAAGCCAAAGAGGGATTGTTACTGGTCATCCCCACGGCCACTGCTTTTGCAGCGGCTGCCGCTAGCTTAAATAGTAAAACGTCAGCTGTGTTGTCCCGCTTGTTGCTAGCTGAAGTAGCTGCGAACATGCTCAGCGATTGCTTCTTGTTGTAAGATTTCAATTGCTATGAGTCATGTGCTTGATTGACTGGCAACATCCCTCGTGTCGAAGCTAGTGCAATTGCTCGATTTGATTGTGATTCCAACTTGGATGACATACTGTAGCAAAATTGAAGACAAGCTAACCAGCCCCACCCGAACACAAAGCTGGATCAACTCAGCAGATTGTATAGCGTGGGAGACTTCATGGCATCCATCCGTGGGCATCTCCTGAAGCAGCAGTGGGCTTTGGCATTCTAGTCCATGATGCGGGTACGTGAGGGGTGGAAGCAGAAGGAAATAAGAGTGTGTCCGCAGGTTGCGAGGGCAAATTCTCCGCCTGCATGCCGCCGGCTTGGCATTAAACGTTTTGCGTAATTTGTGGGCTAGCTTGCAGCAGGTCCACACGGTTCCGTTTTGCTGAGCCAATGACCTAGGTTCAGCTCCTACAGTGTTCCGACGATCCTGTTTCAGGAGCCTGTGCAAGTGCACTCCAGAGCATATGGATAATTGGCTCTGAATTTTGGTGAACATGTTTGCTCGAAGAGACACATCTCTCTCCATGCTTGCAATGGTGGCTCAAGAGTTCCGTTGGACATTGGGCCTCAACGCATGGGGAACTTCATTAATCAACGCAACAAACCTTGCTGTGAAGAAGGCTGCAGCGATAGATTTCCCAGAGATCATCTAGAACAGCTTCAATCAGCAGCACAGGCCTTTCAAGGTTGCACTGGCTGCGGCATTACGCAACAAACTTGTTTGAGTTTGTGACACTTCAGAACTGTCATGGTGCACTACGAGGCGATTCACTACGTTTCTGTGTGTGTCAAGGTTTTGCAATGTCCATCCAGTACATCTTTGGGAGAAGACCGGAGGTGGTGTCCTGTGCAGAGCTGGGTGGCGCTTTAGTCCGTGAGGGCAAGAGCTGGAAGCCTGGCTCTGGTGAAATGTTTTTTCGCCTACGTGTAAAAGCTTCTGCCTTTGAGGCCTGACCTCCCAACAGCTTGCACGGCTCGGCATAGGTGGCTTGTTTCTTGAAATCAAGACCTTGCAGGGATGAACGATGGTTGATGGGCATGCAGGAGCTGTGGTATCTGAGCTTGAGCGTGTGGATGCCTCGGCTGCCAGAGATGTACTTTCCCAGCCGGTGCCTAGCACAACTCTCTGAGACGTCATTCAAAAGACTTACAGGTTGGCGAGCGCCTGCGATTCAAGAAGGTCTCAGGCAGGGGGTTCTTAGCTACTGTAGAGAGGATCCTTCACCCAAAGTGGAGCAACGTTGCTTGGGCAGCTTCTTGACGTGTAGGTTCTGGTCCGGACTCTGGGTGGGTCAGTGCGGGCCGCAAATTCTAGTGCAATCCAGCGCTTGAACATGTGAACGTACATTACATGGTTTGCGGTTGGTATTGGAATGTGTCGGATGATGTCGGATGTGCAGACAAGTTGGCTGATTACTGCTCCCAGGCTCCAAGCTTCTCTCCAAGTGCGATGCTGGCAAGGCTGGAGCTCATGGCAGGTTCAGAGCAGTGAGAGATCTCCTGAGAGATAGCTCTAGCAGCTAGTGTCAAGTCTCCGACTCTTCCTCTGCTCCACATGTGCAAGAGGCAGCAGCAGCAGCACAGTACCAGGCTGGCTGGAGTATGAAAGTAGGCCGTGCCACATTGTAATTCCACTCTGCTTGGGCCGCAGGGAAAAAGTCTCCTGGCACAAGCCGAGTCAAAGGTGCTGGCGAAAGGTTCGCTGATGCGGCGTGGTGCGGCAGCAAAATCCTGTGTCCAGACACCTGACAGGTGTCCCGCAGTCATTGAAGGAGGCCGGTAAGGAGCGCATGCGAATCGAGCCAAGCTTTGATTCTACTCGTATTATACACATTGAGCAGTGACCATATTCTGGAAAGCCTCAGCTTGTGGCATCCTGCAGGACGGAGCTGGCCGTATCCTGGCTTCCTTAGCCTTTCTGGCAGATGGAGCTGGCCTCATAGTCTTCGGGTGGGGACGGGCTGTGACTGTCGATCGGTGCATGGCTGAGGCAAAACCAACGAGGCAGCAGAAGCTGCCAAGGAAGCGCAGGGCCTGTTGAAAGGCAACAAGGTGGGAACTCGGAAATCAGTTCTCCCTCAAACCCAGACTCTGAACCTTAAGAAGATGGTAAACTCAAACGCTGAATGCTAAGCCCTAGACACCCCTAAACATCCCTAAACCCTATGTGTCAAATGTCCTTCTCCACTCAGGAGGGCGAGGCCTCTGCCACCTTGGCCTTGGCCCTCGCCACACTTTCCGCGGAGCCCAAAGCGGCTTTGGGTCCCCGACTCAAACACACCAAGGTTTGTTCAACAGAGCATATCACGCCCTGTCATGATGGTTACACTGTGAGATTTGATACGTTCTGGTGTTATCAATACTTCCAGTGGTTGGATTTAAGATGATTTAAGCATGCTGCTGAGGGCACGCCATGACGGCGCTGAGCGGCTTCAAGGAGGCTTCTTCACGCTGTGATTGACTGCAGATGCGTGTAGGCATTCACATTGTTGGGGGTAGATTTTGTTGCCGTCTGGATCAGGTCGGTGACAAACAAATGGAAGCTTCAACACTCACAACCATCGCCAACGCAAGACTATCCTTGCGGGGACCTGAGTCGAACACCCGAATCAAAACTGCCAGCAGAGTAGATACTCGTGGATCTTCAGCGTGTACAGCAGCGATGGTCGCAGCCTAGCCATAATGTTGACCTTGCATCCATGCCCGCGCACTGGTTGAGAATTTTCAGACGATTCCAGAAAGTTTGACCCAGGAGAGAATACTCTTGCAGCTCCAAGCCCAACGATCAAAGACCAGGTCCTGGATGAATGAGAACCCTAGAGGTTCAATATTGCCACACCTCAAAGCATCTATCCTCCAAGCAACAAGGATGGAAACTTTTTGGTTGTTGATGTCTCTCCTACGGCCTACGGTTACAATACTCCTCCTGAGGAAGGAGCTCAGCGTTGGGGAAGCGGCAGTGAAGGACGCTTTGCGTCTCTTCCGTGAGTGGGGGGCTCTGCACAGCTGCTGCCGAAGGTAGATTGCAGATTGTTTGGCCAAGCTTGTTTGATTCATGCTTGGCAAGGCTGCCCCTGAGTCTTCCTGCAGTGATACATCCTTAGGATTGGCGATGCTGATGGAGAGGAGGCAGCTCAGCCCGACACTTGGAAACCTGTAGGCATTTCTTTCTTGAGCAGAGAGTGCTTGCAAGGATCACTCTCTTGGACCTCCTTTGTGCCAAAGAGGGCCCAGACACAGGGCCTGCAATGGTGTGTGGCCCTGGACGAAGAACCTGGACAATTTTGGCAAGCGTGAAGCTGCATGAGGTCAGCAAGGAGCGGCTTGCATACTGCAAGAGCAAGGGCGACAAGCTGGGGGAGGCGGCATCTCGCGTCCGGGAGACTGTTGCTTTTAGGGCTTGCGCCCAAAAATCTGCAGGGCAAGGCCTTGCAGAAGCTTGCTGAGCAGCTCATGGGCAGTGCCAAGGATGAGGCCTGTCTGCGACTGCTAGCGCATGAGATTTCCTGTTTGTTTTGGTCTCTGGGTTTTGGCTCTCAGCTGGTAAGGTTTTGTGAGGTTGGGTCATGACACCGCACGCTTGTTCACAAGTTGGTTAGCATGTCTGAGCGAAGCCGGCATCGGAGAGTCTGCCTTCGGTTCTGATCATAGCTTGCGACTGGAGGCTGCTAAGTGCGCCAGAGAAGCGGCGGCACTGTTTGTGCAGGCCTGTGCCGGTGTTGGGTGATTCTGTGATTCTGCTTTCTGCCCTTTCATGTCAGCATCTCGGTTGGGGCAAGGCCGGCGACAAGAAGGCTCAAGCTGCAGCCCTTCAGACGGCCTCGTCCCCAGAACCGACGGAGGTTGGAGTAGTTGAAGGATTTTAAAGGTGGAGGAGAGGCAGCTGCTTTAGACGCGCCTGGACTTCAGGCAGCTCTGGCTCAGAGTGCTGACCGGGTTTCCTCTGCGGAAGAGGCGGCTCCTGTCCTCAAGAATTTGATTGGGTCTCCTGACGCAGCGCAGGCCTTGAAGATCAGCAAGTCCATTGGTGACGAAGCTGGGCAGGCTTTCCCTGATGTTTCGCTTGTGTTCTGGTTTGATTCACGTTTTCTTGTGTCTTGCGGAAGGTGGACCTTCTGATCGGCCTCAGTGCAGTTCTGGAAGGAGAGGCATCGCTGGCCAGGGCAAAGGAGGCGCTTGGACAGCCTTCCCGTGAGTATGCCGGTCTGCCACATAAGCTTGTCCGGAGCAAGTCTGGTGCAGGCTCAGGCCTTGGCCAAGAAGCTCACAGACAGGCGAGCATAAGATTGGTGAGCGCATGCAATCATGACCAGGTTTCAGTGCAAGCTGACAGGCTAGATAGCTGCGGTAACACATCTTCGGTAAGCCATCATTGCATTGTTCCAGACTTTCCGAAAGGTGTGGCGAAGCCCGTGCAAGCCATGCTGCCGCTGTTGCCTCCCTGGCGCTGGGGAAGACGAGCGAGGATTGTATCTGATATATTGTGGTATGATACATTGTACCAAGTCCACAACTGCACTTTTGCACAATATCACAAAATCTGCGCCAGCCATGAGCATTTGGCATTATGTGGTAGTTGTCCATGATGTTGGAAAAAGCCTGGCTGCAGGCATTGACGCTTGCCAAGGAAGCTGCCGACATTTTAGGAACAGACCTCAGCAAGTCGCTTGCAGATGCAGCCCATCAATTGCAGTCGGTAAATCAGTGCTTAGGCCAGGAAGGTGACATCGTCTCTCAAGCCTGTGCTCTGAGAACAGCCGTGCTTCCCTCGGCAGCCTTGGACCGACGCGCATAGCCGGCATCGTGCTGGTGTCCACCATTCCCAGACCATGATCAGTCGGATGTTGGTGTTTGAGAAGGTAAAGCCACCTCTTGAGACATTGCACTCCTTGGGACCCACACCACTGCAAGGCTTCGGCGGCCGGCGCAGGCGAGGCTTGCGAGCTGCTCCGCGAGGACGGACGCTGCAGCGGGTTTTCAGCAAGGGATGTGCAGGAGCACTGCGCAACATTCCTAATGCCGCCCAAGAGTTCGGAGGCCGTCTCGCTATCGGCCGGAAGCGGCGATCGGGCAGCAGAGGCCGGCAACCTCGGCCTCCCCATGAAGGGCATAACGGTTTTTGCTGCCATGTAGAGAAGGTAGATCTCAGAATTCAGCTCGCCCAACATACCCGTAAAAGCATAGAGTCCTTGATTACAGAACCCCCCTGAACTGGACACTTGAATTTCTTCCAGAAATTGTTAGGTTTCCCCCTTGAACAAGCGTGTTGGAAGGCCTCTGCAAAGCTGCAGCTAGCTGGGGCCTTGCTATCCTTTGAAGGCGCTTTGAAATACTAGGGATTTGTAGCACTTGACAAGGGTCTGTCACAGCTCGGCAAATCGCGAATTCCTGCAGGTCCTCTGGTCCAGATCTTCGAAAACCGACGAGAAGCTTCCG